TATTTTTTAAATATCAACGATATTTATTTATATAAAAAACAACATTTATCAGCTCTCAATTTTACGATTGATACACACATACCTGATACAAGTGTTTCTTCGGGTTCGGGTGGAACGATGGGACCGTTATACAGCATGAGACCGTCTGCTTTTCTCGTGACGAACTCGAGACTCAGATGAGAGTTGTCGCACATCTCCAAAGGTGGATACCACGCCCATCCGCTACCTTTGAAGCTCCTGGCCGTCTGCTGACATCTGGGTCCGTTRAAGCCGTTCGGGCATTCACACGTCGGTCCGTTTCTGGTATCCGTGCATCGCCCACCATTCAAGCATGGGCTTGAACGGCATGTTTCGATTTTCGTGAAGTTTCTGGCCCCGCAAGTRCATTCCGCATATGTGTCGATCCGGACGCCAACCAGCGCCGTCTTATTAGCGTTCACCATATACGGCAGTGTGTTTATTTCGAAAACGTTCGTGCAACTTCCCTCGCAGTTCACATACTCATACAAGCACTCGTCAATACCCACCATAGTGATGTTTATTCCCACATCCTTTTCAATCTAAACAGGAAAAAAAATAAATCAATAACAATGACTTAGATACCGTAGAAGATCAATAAAAATCATTTGCACAAAGTTTCCCCCACTTGATATAGATCTATAGGTAATCATATATTCTTATTAGGTATTCTCAGTCTATTTCAAACTTTCAAATTCAAATTCCCTTTGTTAGATAATGGAACTTAGTATTCAGGCGCAGAGTCAGATAAAAAATTCACCTACATGGCATTCATTTTTAGTGTATTATTAAACTCTCCGGACTCAAATTAAAAAAAAAAATCGTATTAATATTGAAGGCAGTGATATTATAGARGTTTATTAAAAATACTATACATTTTCAATAATAACTTTTTATCCATCATTAAAATTGTTTTATTAAACTGATTGATAATTCATAGTAATTTTAATAATAAAACAAGCAAGTACWGTGATAAAATCAATTTCCATACCTCTTCACGGTGCATYAATACCAGACCGTTGAGTTTCACCGTTTTATAGTAAGGTGATCCGTGAGCAGAGAATCTGATGTCAGTTAACGGGGGGTACTTTTGTTTCAATTGAACACTGAAAATGTCGATATTTTCTCTTGGCGTGTTTAAAATGTCCACKAGTTTATCTTTGAATTTGTCGGCTTTGCTCCTGACCAAGCTCTGCGTCTATTTATGTAAATAAATATAAAAAAAGAACACGTGTTAGTACTCTGACTCTCAAACGACCAATTTGCGTTTGGGGTTTACTCTGTAGTTCCATATCCTAATGAAATCCTCGTCCGATATGCCAGCAATACGTATGGAGCCGGCGTTCATAACCGCCTCGGGTGAAATATCCTTGACCGTAACTGTGACGTTTGCAGAAATGTCCGTTTGCGTGTGCTTCCGGTCGTACACCTTGAACCGCAAATGGTATTGGCCTTCTCTCGTACCATGGCGCATCATTATCATTCCTGTAGTGTCATTTAACTTAAATCGAGGATGTTCGGTGCCGTCTGGGTAGAATTTTTTATCTGGCAAGTCCCAGTCATCCAAATCGTACACATATACTCGACCAATTTCGGTGTCCGGAGCTTGGCCCTGAATTGGTTTATAACAATTTAATATTATTAGTATATAATGATTATACACCACAGTGAGAACAGAACAGAAATGACAAGAACGAATTTTCTTGTACCCACGTATCCACGTATAATGAATGATATATAGGTATGGTAACGTTATAGTTTAATGTATAATTATTGGTCTTTTAGGTTGTTTATTTTATACAAAATGTACCTATCATATTAATTTACTTTGATGGATGGCAGATAATAATATGTTATTATAAATGGCAATGATTGAGATTGAAAATATTGATATTTTTAATATATATTTCAAAACATTTTAGTAAAACACTTCATATATATGATTAATAATCGTAATATAGATTTTAAAAATAATCATTTACCATGTAATTGTAAGCAAATATTTCTTTAGATCCCGGTTGCATTTTGTTATCATTTACATCTCGAATGATGACCGTCAGAGTACTGGTACCAGTCATAGCCGGATTACCAGAGTCTTTGATCACGATTGGTATGAGATATTCTTTTTGTTGTTCTCGATCGAATGATCTGAGCGACGAGATGACAGCCATACCGTCACCGTTGGCTCCCTCTGAAAATTAATTTTAAAAATTATTTTACAAACATTATTTTGAAACACATAGAGTAAATTATGCCAGTAGCGTGCTCAAATTTTATTAAAGAGGGGATATAAATTTTTGATTACTCTCAGACCACATTATAATAGCAGTAAATATAATTTTGTTGGTTTATCATATTATATCGTATATRACAAAATAAGCCAAAGAGCGGTAAGTATTACACCTTCATATCCTCATGTGAGCACGCCCCTGGATGAAGGCCGTAAATTGGTGGACAGGGGAACTGCCTTTTTCCTCTTAACCCAATCGCTGAGTCCTATTAGATTATTGAAGTAAAATTTCTGCCCTTAACAGTGATAAAAATAAAAATAAATATTTTCTTGGGGAAACAGCCTCAACTTAAAAAAAAAAAATGAAGTGTTTATAATTTTATAATTTATTTTTTTTCGAAGAATCATCTATACGATGGAKATATTATAAATKAGCTCTATTGTAATAACATACTCAATTGTATTGTTTAGTCATAAAATATATCGAGAGAATTAAATTTTATATCATGTGAAAATAAAATGATAGTCAGCCACTGTTTTTTATGTATCCTCCTTTCCTTAAATTTGACTCAATACCATCCAGGTGATTRTGTGTTGCTACGGGCCTGTAGTTGAAGGAGGAAAAGATAATAGTTATAGGTACTTTGATCGTGTTCGACTTTAAACGATGCTCTGATCACGTCGTCTGCGTTCGGATCCATCCTGAACGTAAATGGCGGCCCGTTACTTTTAGAGCGGTCGTCGTCATCGGTAGCTAAGACTTCAACGACTTTTCTGGCAGGCACGTGCTCTGGCAATACTGGTCGGTAATCGCGAAGAAGTTTCGGAGCGTTATCGTTGATGTCCTGGACGATCACTGTTAGGGTGGCTGTAGCCGTCTTTGGTGGAACGCCGTCGTCGATGGCTAAGATTTTCACCTGAAACCCGTAAAAACATTAACATAAAAAGGCTGGCAGATCTCATCCCTTTTTTTTTTTTTGATATTGAGCAAGACATAAGTTCTAATTACGGATCCCACCTATGTAATCTAGTATTTTGTAACTGGTATGAAAATTTTGTATTTCTTTCGTAATCTTTTACTGTATGAGATATAAATTTTTAATGCGTTATTTGTGATTATATAAATGCGTTTATATTACATTCATATCCACTTCCTAATATATCTATAAAGCTATGATTATACCTGATGCCTGGGAGTTTCTTCCCTGTCTAACTGCCGTTGAATGGAAACGGTTCCTTCTTGACTAATGCGGAACTGACGTCGTCGATCGGAGACGCGGTCGATAGCGTAGGATACTTTGCTCTTCCCTCCTTGGTCAGGGTCAGTGGCTTTGAACGTTTCTAGGCTCTTTCCGACTTCCACGTTTTCGTAAACCGACACTTCGATGTTTGGCCGTTCGAACTGAGGCTTGTTGTCGTTGATGTCACGCAGTTTGACGACAACCCACGAATACGCGACGTGGTATTTGTCATGATCATTATCTTCACCCTAGAAATAAACGCCGTTCATTAGTTACTTATAGATAAATAATATTATCAACATTTTAAGAAAAATTTAAATTTAAATGGACGTATGCCAAGTCAAAATAAACTATAAACAGTGATTACTACCATATTTATAGTAAACAATTGTTGATGAAAATTATATGGAACATGATTTCACGTTAGAAAGAACCGAAACCACTACAATATGAAWAAAGACCAAATCATAGATGCAATATAAAACCAAATTTCCACCATAAAAARTCGAGTAAGTGAGTGTAAAAATTTTCTAATTTTTTAAAAAGTTGATTCAATATTTTTATAGTTGGGCTTTAACCCTCAACTCAAAATCTATAATGTTATTTTCTCCTGTGGCGTACAGTATCGTATTTACATTAATTTCTAGTCAATTTTTTCCTTAATATCTTTATATTGACAATTTAGTTTTAACAAGCATGACGTGTGAGGTGTGACATACATCCACTTGAACACGTTTACCACGTTATTATACCTTATCGTTAACTTGGATCCTGAAACGGAATCCATTACTCTGCAGCTGATCTTCATAATCCAATGGCTGAACGATTTTGAGTGATCCGGTTCCGTCGTTGTTCCGTACCATGGTGAATTTATCTGCCCCATAACCACTGTTTTCAATTACCTGAAACGTCACAAAAAAAATGAGTAATTATAACGATATTTTTAGCCAAGTTGGTTGGTAAAACAMAAATAATATTATGAYTCTGCCTCACTTTGTATTGGAACTTGTTGGTCTCGTCTTCATCGTGCACCGTAACCGTCAATATTGGAGTTTCTGGGAAATTAAATCCATCAGTCTCGTCTACTTCAGTGAGCCACTCTTCTTTCGTGAACTGCGGCGGCATGTCGTTGATGTCCTTCACCCGGATGGAAGCGGTTCCCGTWCCTGTACGATAATAATAATATAGTCGTACAGAAAATCAATACCATTCACAAAGTCAGTCGATACACGTGGCCTTAATTCACGGCGTTATKTGTGCATATCATTATAATATAGGTCAAATCGAGTACCTTTAAGGCCTCCACCGTCCATGGCGACCACTTGGATGGAATAGTCTGGAGTGCGTTCTCGGTCCAAACAGCACACGGCCGTCTTTATAACTCCCGTATCGGATTCAATTTCAAATATCGGGGTGCCGGTTTCTTCTTCGATCACGTTTTTCTCGATTGAATATATCAATTTAGCGTTAGTGCCCTCGGCTGGGTCATCGTAATCCACTGCCGTCATTGTCATCACAACCATTCCTTAAAACATGACCCCGAAGATACGAAATTATTTTAACATACGTTGTATAATAAAGATTTACAATAAATAGTGGTCATAAAGGTAAATAATCTTGTGCAGGATTTTTATATYTGAGTAATACTGAATRAAGTAAATTTTGAGTAATCAACTAGAATGTATTCATTATCGAAAGTAGGTAAGTTAACTCTTGTGWRTATTAAGGTAGATGTTGTAAAACAAATACGTAACGTTTTTATGCTTCAATTTATTTTTCTCACATTATAGACATTTGAATTAAAATAACGCAATACCTAATYCAATTTTTCAAACTTTTGAACCCAAACAGAAGCCATACGAAAAATATGAGATTTAAAAATCAARAACCCATCTTCAAATAGTATATTTATGTACCTATAGAGAGATTTGTATTATACTGATGATTATTAATATTACTCGATTGTTATCTATCTACCTGATCAGAAGGAGAAAATTAAATTGCTTAATATGATGAGAAATTAAAAACAGTATTAACTATTATGTTGGTATATACCATCTATTTTTAATCATCCCAAAGCCTTACAGTTTTACTCTCGCCTGAGAATCAGTTTAATTTACGTACCGGCTGTTCCGTTTTCGGTTACATTTCCCCAGTACACTCCTTGCGGGAATACCGGTGCATTGTCATTGATGTCTTTCAGGTTCACTTGAACGTCAGCATATCCAACTAAGCCTTCGCCTCCTTCGTCTTGTGCGAACACGGTAAATCTCCACTGTGGTCTGCCGTTAGGCTGATCTCTGTCCAATGGCTGCGTAAACATGTTTCAACCGTAGCGTTTTAATAAAATATATATTATTCTAGTGTCTGTGAGCGAATATCGCCCCGGTCAGTTCATTACCTTGAGAACGAATATCTCGCCAGACGTACGATTGATGTCGAATTTACTATTGGCCGGGTTGTCCGGATCAATTCCCTGTCCCGTGAGGAAATAGACGATGTTCTGCGGGCGATCCTTGTCACCGTCGGTAGCCGTTACCTATATTATAATGCACAAATTATAGTTAAGGTGCCGTTAACATTTTCGGACGACAGTCGAAAAATATTTAATTAAGTCGTGTAAATAAAAATAAAGGATTGCAACAATGATCTACAACTATAATATTATAAACGAGTGCTGGATAAAACTGGATGCGACAGAACTGTATAATTGGTAATCTTACCTGAGGGGATCCAATCGGTTATAGCGAGATCTATATACGCAAACGGGCGATAAACAAATCAGKATAAATACACCTCTTCAAATGTATAAACCGGCAGTCTTATAAAGCATTTTAGTCTAATTATTCTAATACATTTTAATTAGGTACTCGAATATTGGTACCCGCTAGGATCGGTACATTTAAAAAGTATCTTTTACAAGACTGCAACCAGGTGTTATACTATTGGCGGGCGTCTCAGTCCGTTTGATCTATCGCGAATACGTACTTGCAATAAATGGTGTGGATACGCTCCGACCAGCTCTTCTTCCATTTCGGTGGCGTACAGCGGCGAGTTGAACACGGGTGGCATGTCATTTTTGTCTTTTACGTTAATCACCACCGTCGTTTTGCTATCTTGGAAGTTGTCGGAAGCGGCCAATATCAATTCGTACTACATTATACAACCATGCAAACATGTAGAGGTAGGTACACTTATCTGTGTTTTAATTTTTTGTAATCGGAGGGCGCCTGAAGAAAACGACGACGAAAAGGGCTGTTGTTGATTTCATCCGGGAGGAGGGGGAGGAGGAGGGATTTTCCTGCTGTTATTCTGTATTACTTATATATACATTATACGTATAGCATTGTATATTGTGATTATATTATTATATACTAAAATATAACTCCTGTGTTGTTTATAATTAAATGCGAATTCGTTTCGAACGAATAAATAACAAAATATAATCATTAAACTCTACAACACGTGCTCTTATGTTATRAAATATTATAAATAATTCATATGTATCGAATTTTTCCGATAATCATKTACAATTTTTATTATAAACATGCTGTGTCAACATAATACTGTACAGGAATCACAAGCGTGCTCATCCTTTTTTTTACAACCACACTAGTGCAGTTTTCCAAAATCTAATTTTTGGAATTTTTAAATATACCTCTATACTCGATGTTAAAGACCGTATTTTTCAAATTCTTGATGTTGTATTATGTAATCCATTATGAACCAATAATATGAGGAGTTTGTCATGGAGGCGTTTATCGCGAATGGAAACTTTTTTTTTCTATACGGTTAATTATTCACTAAAAATAATTAACAGTAAAAAAAGAGGAGGGTTCTCATTTGAAGAACAGAAGTTTGGTTCTACACAGAAGTAACTCAAGAAAAAAATCAAAAATTTTATGAGACTACGTGGTATTTATTTAAAAATAACAAAAATCAGAATTTGACTAAAGGGGGTGAATGTGCTGGCTCCGTGTAACACGATAATATCATGTTGTACGTATTGTGGTCATAATTATTACCGTTATTATCATATCATTATTAAAGTTAAAACTATTAACGGTCGGAATACCGCTCGTGCAAAGTTTAATATACCTAGGTATAGGCTACCTTCAATGATATATTTTTATTTTATCGTTGTCGTTAAACGCGTTCCGGTGCAAAGACCGCTGTTGAGTTGTGACTACGCACTCAAGACCCAACTAAAGTACGAATATATTGGTACCTAAGCATGCTTACGTAATAATAATAATATTTCGCATGGTGAAATACGTCATGCTGCATGCAATATGGGAAGTCGACTTATAAAAAAACTACATTTGCGTTTTTTAAACGCGCGCCGGACCTGTAAGACGCGTTTGGGCAAGTTCCGGTCGTCCTCTTCCGTGATCTGTGTCCTGTACGTGGGCCGTTCGAACACCGGTGGATTATCGTTCACGTCTTTCACGTGGATCACGACTATCGTGTGGTTTTCTTTCAAGTTGTCCGACGCGGATAGATGTAATTCGTACTGTGCACACGGTGTGATTGTCGGAAGTCAAATATTTGATCATAATATTATTATTGTATCATAAACAATTGTCAATAATAATATTATATATAATGATACGTTTATTCGATTACAGCGATAAAGCTCGAGTGTTATCGTCAATGTAAAACAAAGGAAAAAACAACAACAAAAAATGACAAACGTTGGTGTTGAAAAATAAATGAAACAAAAAAATTTCACGGACAAAAAAAAATGGAGATAATAACAATAAAAAAAAAAACGGACAAAATAAAATGATATTATAATTGCGAGTTGCAGCTTACTCCCAACCACGACGTTTTTCGGTAAAAAAAAATGTATTGTATACCTATGTATTGAATTTTCGGACCAATGTTTGTCAGGCACTACGAATGGGGACATAAATTGTAAAATAACTATAAATACAATGGGACGCTACAATAACAACATCGCTAGACGTCAAAACGTTTTGGCGACGAATACAGAATCTTTGAAAAGAAATAGATACCTAACAATAATAGAAGTAATCATATAGTAGGTGCTTTTTCACTATTTACATCGGAAGACCTTTCCTCAGCGTTTAGACTTATTATTTGTTTGTCGTGTACAAAATATGTGCCGAAATGGTAAAAGTGGGGTTTTCGAAAATATTAATTTTTTCCAAATTTTCCTTCCGCTGGAAATGCATGACTTTTCGGTATAAAATAATAATTAATAAAAGTGAATCCATTTGACATTAGTAGACTGTGAACATGTTGATTTATTAATTTATGTGATTAATTATATTAGACTTATATTGTTGTGCGTTTATCAAGATGAAATAAAGTTTTTTTTTTTGATTATCTGTTTAGCATTCGAGCAAAATGCTAATTCGAGATAACTTTTTATGACAAAATTTTTAATTTRATTTTTGTATATACATATTTATTTATTCATTTTTTATTTTTGTGCTAGAGGTGTTTAATCTTTCCGAGTCTTTGTGCCCTTTTAGATAAGTTACATTGTTAAATATTTATTGGTGTAGTAATTTTGTTGTGTATTATTTGCGAAAAACACACGTATTTAAGAGTGCAAAAATTATATTTTACAAATACAACTTTTAAATTATCTGTTTTTTTTTTTTAATCTAAATAAATGAATTAGTTTTTTTTTTTTTATCGATCATATATAGCATATTTAAAGAAATATTTTCATTTCTATTATCTCATTCGCAAAAAATTTCAATAAATTTATCCGTTATTTTATCTAGATAATTTTTTGGTGACTTTGTGGCTGTCGACGCCTGCATAAAGTTGAGTTTAGTTTTATCAAAACAGGACGTAAGTACTTTTGACATTATGTCGTTTTCATTTCAGGAGGCTTAAAAACTATAGTAGGAATGTGTAGGTTTTGCGTTTTTATGAATTCGTAAACGAAAGTAATAAAATAAAATAATTAAAAAAATAAAAATAAAATGGAATCAATCGGGACTGTATTAAYTTAAATAGTGATGTGAACAGGAAATGTTTTTGAGTTRCGGGGATGTTCTCGAGAAAATACTCTTATTTTATTGTTGAAGTAGTTAATATACAAAACTGATGTTCAGGATTCCAAATTTAAAAAKTTGAATTTCTATTTATTYATTTTTGTTATTATTGATCAGTACCTATAAGTATAATATAATCATAATTCATAATGTAGTGTATTATTGTTGTTAATGATCAAATAATAATTACTATAATCATAAATATGATATAGAAAAAAAAATGTGATGACTAATATAATACCATTATTATTATTATTATTATTATTACTGTTGTTGACGAAATATTATTACGAATATAATTCTCGAGAACGCTCCTCAATTCAAAAGAAACATTCCTCAGTTTCAAATCACTACATTATACCTAAAATAGGGTCGAAAATATTCTATAATAATATTATTATGCGTATTTGATTAGTGTTTGTAAAATGAGTTCAGCGGTGGCCAATAATGCGTTTCCTGACTTACCCTTTTCCTCGTCTCGTAGTCCAGTGGACCGGCGACATAAATGGCACCGGTCATATTTTTGACGGCGAACGCTCCGCCAAGATTTCCTCCCGTTATTTCGTAACGTATTCTGGAAGCTGCAAATGACACGAAAAAAAAAAACATTTTAAACCCAAAGATTTCAAACGATGTTTAACGCGGTCTGTATGGGATAAAATTCGATGGTAGCCAGCGATGAGGTAGTAGCGATCAGCACCATCTAATGATGGACAGGGTTCGGATTTTAATGTTTTAAAAATCCTCAAGAATTCTCTAATAAAACGGGGAATCCTACACGAGAATGGCATATAAAAAATTGCAAAAGTTAATTTTTCTAAATAATATGAGATGCCTAAGGTATTTCACGAATATAAAAATTAGATGTGTGCAAGTTCCACTTAGCAAAAAAAACTACTATAAAATTATATTTCATTTACATACATTATTTTAATGTAATATTTCATATTTCATATGATCCATACCTATGCAATAATATAAAATACGATTGTTACAAGAAATATACTATATATTTAATATAATATTAATTTATAAAATATAATCATATAATATAATAATATGTTTTTCTGACGAGTAGGTAAATATATTCACCCAATAAGCACGCCACTTGAAGCACAAAGAAAAAATTATTTTATTCTCTAAACCAATGTTTAAAAAAATGTGTTATTTTATGTAAATTATATTATCTATACTATCGAACTTAACCTAAATGGTTCTGTGATTGTTGCGGTCGGTTTATTCATTTAACGGTGTAAAGTACACAGTCTGAAGAGATAATTTAATGTACCTACATAAATTCAAACAATAGGTTAGGTTAAAAAAATGTATTTTTTTAATTCTTTGATTCACCAAACTATAATTTTGTGCTTGGGAAGCATTGTTCTAGTGCATACAAAAAAAAATTAAATTTGCATTAAAATCCAACCTTAATATTGAAAAAAATTTAAGATTGAATAAAGTAGGAAAAAGATTCTCAATAGGTTCTCTCTTATATATTTTGTATCTTACGATAAAATGTTACGAGCCGTGGTTTAACCACCCCTGGTTTATACATTACAGGGTTGGAAAAGCGATTAAATATTATTATTTGTTATGGATGACTTTTACCGGAATTGAACTTTTTTTTATAAAATATTCAAATTCATTTTTTCTCAGTTGTTAACTCAACAACATCATTGTTACCGAATGAYCAATTTTTAGAAAAAAACTCTCATGTGAATYCTGAAAACTCTGGTTGTAACATGATCGTTATGATTCTCATATGGCATAATTTTTAATTTTTTTATGAAATTCTCCAAAATAAATACAACATTTTTTATTGTTATTAAATATAAATTAATACTATCCCAAGAAGATTGAAATGACATTATTTATGGGTTTCATAGAAAAGTAAAAAGTAAATTCTAACAAATATAATTTAATATAAATATTAAAATTTCCCGATTCATCCAATGACATGGTTATGCCTCACATTTTCCTACCAATATGTGGTTTGGTCTCTTTTTAAAATGACCAAACATTAGACAAAACATTTGTGGAAATTTTCTAATTCAAAATTTGATCTATAACTGAAAATCCCACGGTTTTCGGTAGTGATGCCAATCGAATCTAAGAAAGTGTAATAATTATTATACAATACAGCCGACATTAGGTATTACTAAAWTTTAAGGAAATCTATCAGAACAATATCATAATGTAGTTAAAAACTTATTGGCATTGTATAAAAATCAAATCAAAAGTTTACTAACATTCATCGTGGTCCTTCGCTGTGACGGTGAGCACAGTGTGCTGAATGTCTTCGTTTTCATCGACTTCGGCCTCGTACAGTGCCTTGTCAAAGTACGGCGGGTTGTCGTTCTTGTCGGCAATGCCAATCCGTATGAACTTGGACACTGCAAATAAATATACATATAGTGAGAAAATCACTTGGAATGGTATACCATTAGTATACCTAGGCAACAGTCGTTGGATATTTAGTATATTGTTGGAGTTGTCGTGGAGGAGGGTTCAAATCCCCCAAGGTATTTTTTCTTACTCTATTATTTTAAATGATTACATAAGAAAGATTCACTAAGATAGTGAGGTAGTACTTAATGTAGTTTTTTAGAAAACAATAAATCAATAAAACAGTTTTCATCACTAAATATTAGTCCGACGGGTAAAAATAACTATTCTGTAAACATTAAAAGATGGTACTTATTTTATCATATTATTATTATGTTTTACGAGGGAACT